GAGAGAGAGAGAGAGAGAGAGAGAGAGAGAGAGAGAGAGAGAGAGAGAGAGAGAGAGAGAGAGAGAGAGAGTCTTGGCGGTCTGTGCGGCGGAGCAGCCCATCGGGATTGTGGGCGTCTCCACCACTTTCGACATACATAAAAGACAAAAACCATGGCAAGAGCAATAGGTCTCAGAGACAGGACGAGCGTTAGGTCGCGAGCGCGCGGGGTGCAAACCGGCCAGCTGGCCCGACGGTTTTGTCATCCAACGGCGCCCTCGGTGGTCACGAGGGGGACTGACGGCATTGACGCCATCGCTGTGGAAAAGTTAAGGTCAAACTTCATGCCTGAAGGAGGTTTGACAAGGGCAGAATGGACAACGATACGGGCAGGACGGGAAAACCCTGTAGTCAGTGTGGAAATGGCGTCGTTGCGAATGACGCTCTATCGGAAGAAAGGTATGGCAGGGGGATGGAAATGACTTCGACAACAAATCTACAACAAGCGGCAACAAATTGGATCTATAAGTTGAAGGAGGGGCAGCATCGACTAAGGGAGATGGTAACCCTTGTGTCCTCTACAACCTGTGATTGGTCTGGAGTTGTAGGGGGGGAGACTTCAAGGACCGCATGGCTGGAGGATAAGCGGCAGAGGACTCTGTATCCGAAATTCGATTTAACGTGGGGTCCGCGTTAAAAAATTGAACGTGTGTCCAATTCGCGTTCAATCCCCGTTCAAACGCGCGTTGGACGCGAATGAACGGGGTCCGCGAACCGTTATTTCGCGCTCTCGGGGGGGGGGGAGGGGGTTTTGTGAAGGTGCGGGGTGGTAGTACTCGTTGTCGGGTACCACCCCGTTCAAACGCGCGTTGGACGCGAATGAACGGGGTCCGCGAACCGTTATTTCGCGCTCTCGGGGGGGGGGGGGGGGGTTTTGTGAAGGTGCGGGGTGGTAGTACTCGTTGTCGGGTACCACCCCGTGCATTCATTTTTTTTTTTACGCGGGGCACCGGCCTGCGGCGGCCTCCTGGGGGTTGGCGCAGGGGGAACGGGCCGAACAGGTATTTAAGCGCGTTCGGCCGCAGCTCATTTGCCGCACGAGCACTAATGCTCCAACGCGACGAACGGGTTGCCCGTCAGGTTGGAACGCGCGCGCGCGAGAGAGAGAGAGAGGTGCGCCATAGCGCGCGCGAGAGAGA